CTGGTAATATTTGTACTCATAAATAAATCTCGAGTTAAGCGTGTGTTGATTGATCCAGGTAGCTCAACCAATATCATTAGATCGAGGGTCGTGGAACAACTGGTTTGCAAGACCAAATCGTGCCTGCAGTCAGGGTTCTAAACGGATTCAATATGGCATGCGAGACCACTAAAGGGGAGATAACATTACCGGTGAACACTACCGGGACCATTCGGGAAATGAAGTTCTGCATGATTGAAGGGGACATGAGGTACAATGCTTTGTTCGGGAGACCATGGATTCACAACATGAGGGCAATACCCTCGACACTGCACCAGTTGTTGAAATTCCCAACGCTTGGAAGAATTAAAATAGCTTACGGAAAGCAACCGGTCGTAAATGAGATGTTCACGGTCGACGAGGTGATCCCGGTATCCATACTTTCAACATTGAAGGGTCTGAACCCGATGGCCAAAGACGAGACCAAATAGCAATTACCGATATCGGCCTCGATGGAACCAGGGAAGCAGGGGATGGATGAAGACGATGACTGCGGAGTTCCCAAGTCTTTCATAGTCCTAGATGATTCCGACGCCACCAAATCAACAGTCGAAGAACTAGATCGAGTCATATTGATCGGACACCTGCCTGATCGTAAGGTACACCTAGGCACGGAGTTAAGTCCCGAGTTCAGGAAAAAACTCATTCAATTCCTTATAGCAAACATAAATTGTTTCGCTTGGTCCCATCTTGATATGATAGGGATTTTGCCGGAGATAACCACTTACAAGCTAAGCCTGAATCCGAAGTTCCATCCAGTCAAGCAGAAAATGAGACCTCAGTCCGAAGTCAAGCATGCATTCATCAAGGACGAGGTATCTAAACTCCTTAAAAAAGGGTCCATCCGGGGAGGTTAAGTACCCGGATTGGTTATCAAACGTAGTAGTTGTCCCTAAAAAGGGATATAAATTAAGAATGCGTGTAGACTATAAAGACTCGAACAAGGCATGCCCTAAGGACTCTTTCCCCCTGCCAAACATCGATCGCATGATCGATGCAATGACCGGTCACGAGATCCTCAGTTTTCTCGATGCCTACTCCGGGTACAACCAAATTCGAATGGACCCGGACGACCAGGAAAAAACGTCCTTCATTACTAAATGCGGTTCCTACTACTATAATGTAATGACATTCGGACAAAAAAATGCCGGTGCCACGTACCAACGCTTAGTAAATCGAATGTTTGAAGAACAAATAGGAAAATCGATGGATGTTTACATTGATGATATGTTAGTTATGTCCCTGCGAGCAGAGGACCATTTGAAATATTTGCAGGAAACCTTCAACATATTGAAGAAGTACAACATGAAGCTAAACCCGGAGAAATGAGCATTCGGAATCGGGTCCGGAAAATTCCTTGGGTTCATGGTGTACAACCGAGGAATCGACATTAATCCCGATAAGATCAAGGAAATCAAGGACATCTCCATCGTGGATAGTGTCAAGGTCATACTAAGGCTAACCGGGCGCATTGCCACTTTGGGTCAATTCATCTTGAGGTCCTCCGGTATGAGCCATCGGTTCTTTTCACTATTAAAGAATAGGAATAACTTCTCGTGGACCCCTGAGTGCCAACAGGCCCTGGAGGAACTTAAGCGGTACCTCTCGAGCCCGCCTTTGCTTCATACTCCGAAGGCTGACGAACAGTTATACATGTACCTAGCGGTATCCGAGGTAGTGGTAAGTGAAGCCCTAGCTCGAGAAGAGGAAGGTACGTAATTTTTTTATCTATTATGTTAGAAGAACTCTGGGCGACGCCAAAACTAGGTATCCTTACCTAGAAAAATTGGCGCTCGCTTTGCTAAGTGCCTCTAGGAAGTTAATGTTATATTTCCAATGCCATCATATATGTGTTGTGACTACTTACCCTCTGAGAAACATAATGCATAAGCCTAAGCTCTCGGGACGATTGGCCAAATGGGCCGCGGAGATTAGCGAGTACGATATCGAATATCGACCCCGAAGCCATCAAATCAAAAATTTTAGCGGATTTCATGGCCGGCTTCACGCCAGCCCTAGTTCCTGAAGTTGAAAAGGAGTTACTATTGAAATCGGGGACCTCTTCCAGAATCTAAACCCTTTTTACGGAAGGTGCCTCGAACGCAAAGGGGTCCGGACTTGGCATCGTGTTGAAACCACTGACGGGTAATGTAGTTTGACAATCTATTAGAACTGTAAAATTGACTAACAACGAGGCTGGATATGAGGCCATGATTGCAGTTATTGAACTCGCTAAAAGTCTGGGGGCCGAGGTGGTCGAAGCTAAATGCAATTCTCTCCTCGTGTTGAATCAAGTCAATGGAACGTTCGAAGTCAAAGAGGAATGAATATGAAGATACCTGGACAAGCTACAGGTAACACTACATCGGTTCAGGGAATGGACTTTATAACATGTACCTCTGGATCAAAACAGTGAGGCCGATGCTCTTACTAACTTGGGATCGTCGGTCGACGATAGTGAATTCAACTCGGGAACGGTCGTACAACTCATGAAATCGGTAATGGAGAAAGTCCACGCCGAGATAAACTCGACAAGATTAACCTGGGACTGGAGAAACAAGTACATATATTACCTGAAAACTAGAAAACTACCCTCAGATCCTAAAGAATCGAGAACTTTGTGTATGAAAGCGGCCCGGTTCAGTTTGTCCAAAGACGAACCCTATTCAGAAGAGCATTCGATGGCCCACTTTCCATATGTTTGGGGATGGGAGATACCGAGTACGTTTTGAGGGAAGTCCACGAGGGCACCTGCAGGAAACATTTGGGTGCCGAGTCATTGGTTCGAAAGATAATCAGAGCCGACTACTATTGGATCGATATGCGACGAGTGTCAGAGGCATGGTCCGATGATCCACCATCCCGGGGAGCCGCTGCATTCGGTCTTATCACCCTAGCCATTCATGAAATAGGGGATGGACATCGTTGGTCCCCTGCTTTGGGCGCCCGGTAAAGCTCAATTTATCTTATTTATGACTGATTATTTTTCTAAGTGGGTGGAAGCCCAGGCATTTGAGAATTTCAAGGAGAAAGAGGTTATTGATTTCATATGGGACCACATAATATGCCGATTCAAAATGTCGGCCGAGATCGTATGTGACAATGGGAAGCAGTTCATCGACAACAAAGTGAGCAAGTTTTTCGAGGACCACAAGATTAAAAGGATCCTATCAACGCCCTATCACCCTCGTTAAAACGGGAAAGCAGAGTCCACGAACAAAACCATACTCCAAAACGTCAAAAAAAAAGGTTGACCGATGCCAAGGGAAAATAGAAGGAAATCTTGCCCGAAGTCCTATGGGTGTATCGTACGACCTCAAAATCCAGTACCGAGGCCACTCTATTCTCGTTGGTCTACGGTGCCAAAGATCTTAGACCGGTCGAAGTAGGAGAATCGAGTCTCCAGGTCCGATATACGATCGAAGAGTCAAATGACGAGGCCATGAGTATGAACCTGGAACTGTTAGATGAAAGGCGCAAGGCCGCCCTTATTCGGTTGGCCGCCCAAAAGCAACGGATCGAAAGATATTACAATTGGAGAGCTAACCTTCGACACTTCAATGTCGAGGACTTAAAATTAAGAAAGGTGACATTGAACACCCGGAACCAAAACAAAGGTAAACCGGGACCGAATTGGGAAGGCCCATATCGAATTATTGAGATCACTGGCAAAGGATCGTACAAATTCGAAACGTCAAACGGTGAGCGGCTACCGAACAACTGGAACATAACCCACTTAAAACAATACTACCGCTAAGGTACGACCCCATTCATTACCTTTCTTTAAATATATTACGGATTGGACTAACACTTGCAGGTGACAACCATGGAATGATGCAACTATTAGGCCTGAAAGCACGCGTTGCACTCTTTTTCCATTGAACTGGTTTTTCCCCAAATGGGTTTTCCGGTAAGGTTTTTAACGAGGCAATAGTGGATGGTGCTAACTTAGAATTGAAGACCGACTATGAATCAGAGTCAAGGTTCACATCAACAATATTCGATCCCTCTCAAAGACCGGCCTCAAATACTGGGGGCCATCACCTTCGGGTAATGATTTTAGCAAGGGAGGAAACTTCATGCTCAAACAAGTCTAGGCTTGGTGGATAAGATTTGTTGTAAGGGCCAAACGGTCAAATGAACTGTGCCCACATAAAACACTTAAGCCACAACATGAAACTTGTACACATTCGTAATCTTGTATGTTGCACAGAAATAAAATAAAGTTTCTAAGAGATCATCTGAATTTTGCACAACTACTGAATTTTGTACCTTAAGGACATCGGGCCCAAGGGCCACCTCCGTCCGAATCCAAGAGATCATCCCCGCTCAGGGACTATCGTCCTGGGTAAGCTCGGACAGCTCGGCTATGAAGCCCGGGGGTAATAAGCCCATTGGGAAACACTTGAACTTAAAAGGCTACGACCATGCTAGAACGGCTCTGAGACGTCCGAGATCCGTATCCGAAACATAAGGCTTTCAAAATTTCTAAATCGGTTCGAAGGCTACCCTCGGCAAAATTATCAAAAATTCTAAGTAAACACTTCGAGGAAAGCTTCCGGTCATACCAAGCCCCCACGAGTCTTAAGCAAAATAAAATCGAGAACAAAAATTGTTCGAAACTCCAAAAAGGACCTAATTATTACGTGCTAAGGCATCCAAAATCTTTGCAATCATAAAAGAAAAAGCAAAAAGAAACAAGCCTGAAATTTGCCGAAGGAAAAAAGCCTTATATATATATATATATACACACACATAAAAATTTTACAAAGGCCAAACGGCCTCAACGAAATACAAAGTATAAAAATGAAATCTACAAGGCACCTAAGAAACCCGATCCTCACCGAAACCCGCCTGGTCAACGGAGCCATCGGGGCCTTCCCCGTCCTCGAATTTGCCCGAACCCTCAGAATTTTCCTTATCCTCGGGGTATGCCAGCTTCTTGGCCTCGGCCTCTAGCCTCATAAAATTATCAAGCTCGACCGATAAATCGCCTCCCTCCGGGACTGCCACTTCAGATATTCGACTATGGCCTTTAGGCGTTCCTGAGCTGCCTCAGCATCGGCTTTGTACTGGGTCACCATCTCTTCAGCTTCATCCCTAGTCATTTCCACCTCTAACTTGGCTGCTTCGAGCTCCTTGACAAGGGTGTCCCGGGTGGCAATGGCCGAGCCTAGTTGAGACTGGAGGTTTTTGATTTCATGAGATCGGATCTCAACCTTCTCCTTCGCGGATCGAAGTTGGGCCTCCGCCGAAGCCAACTGCTCCCGGGCAGTCTCCTTTTCCGAAGCCAATCGGTCCATTTTGCCTTTCCACTCCTCGGCCATGGCCTTGACTTCATCCATCTCAGCCCGGAGCTGGTCGACTCGATCAATCTTCTGCTGGACCTGAGGATTCTGAGAGTTAGACACCGTTTCTAGCTCATCATCACTAACTTCAAAGATTCTTACCTGTTCCAACAGGTCGGCATGTTCCTTCTGAGTTGCGTCCAGCTCGGCTGGAAGGCTCTTGACTTCTCCTTCACGTTGCTCGCTGAGAAGCTTATACATACCTCTCTTCTCACCATGCTCTTTAACTTGGGCCTCGAGTTGGCTCAACTCATCCCGTTACCGGAGGGAGGTTTCATGGTGAAGCACCGATGCCTGCATATACGAAGAAGAGATATTAGAATTATCAAAAGTTAATTCAAATATCATAAGAGATATTAGAATCATTAAGAATTATCAAGAATTACCCGGTTAAGCGCCTGTTGTGCTTCGTTGAACATGCATGGTGCATCTACCTTGTTCATTTTGGCTTGATCTTATTCGGTCACCAAACACCGGAGATAACTGGCTATCCTTACGGGGGCGAAAAGGATCCGGGCATCCTCCGAAACGGTGATAATGACGGTCCGCTTCCGACCAGGATCCGTGCTCGAAGCAGGGAACCGGTTGTTTAATTTTGGTCTAGGGCTCGAGCTCGACCCGCCAGCCTCCGAAGGTGGACTTTTCCTTGGTACCTCTAAGCCACCCAACCCGGTAAAATCCTCCGGGACGGATGAGCCTATACCGTCAAAAATGCCTCGGAGGGGATCATCCACTCCATAGACCTCCTCATGGAATCGCTCCTTCGTCGTTCGGGCTTCATCGAACATTGATTCCGTGAACGAGGGCGATCCCAAAATATCTATAATGCCGAGAGGAGAAGAACCGACATCTCGCAAATCCTTGACTCTCACCTTGCCATCAGCCTCGCAAACTTGAGGATAGATGGAATATGGTCCATGAAGATGTCGTCCTCCTCGGGCTCGTCTCTGAGCCGGAGGAGTGATTTCGAGTCAAGCACTCGGGAGTTGGAGGTTTCCTTTGGCTTACGAACGAGCCTCCTTCTTATTTTTTTTTTTCGAGCTCGGTCAACTCAGGGCCTTTTTTCTTTTCTTCTCCCCTGTTATGGCTCTGGGTTGTCCCGAAGTGAAAGAATCGGCAAGTAAGTCCTCGTCCCCAACCGAGGGCCTAAGCTCGACGGTCTTAGGCAGACCTACAAAAGAAAGGTAAAGAAAAAATAATAAGAACGTAATGCTAAGAGAAGAAGCCTAACTCAAACTACTCAAGAAAAATATCTTACCATAAGAACGGGCCTCCCAACGACCCTTCGAGAGTTTGCGCCACGAGCGATCGGAGTTAGGCATCTATGAAACGATATCTTCGACCCACTCCTTGAGTCGAGGAACAGCATTTGGGACTCGGTCAACAGCTACACCATCCCGGATACCAATGAGAAAAGAGGGATGAACACGGAATCAACATTCAAAGGAAAGTTTTTACTTACGTGATGCATTCCACCTCTTGGGGAATGGCCTGAACTCGGCCGGGATCAAATCCGAGGTCCTTACCCGGACAAAATGACCCTGCCAGCCTCGATCCCGGTCCTTGTCGATGCTTGAAAATATGGCTTTGCTGGCCCAGCGAACAAGCTTTATCAGTCCCCCTGGAATATCTGAGGACTGTATAAACGGAATAGGCGATTAATGGTGAAGGTGCACGAATCAATTTTATTTTAAAAAAATCGGAGGAGGATCATGATCATCCACAGTAAAGGGTAAATTTGGCCGAGACATACCTAATACCTATTGCAGAAGTTTATGATGACCAGATCCACCGGGCCTAGCGTAAAGGGATAAGTGTAGATACTTAGGTATCCCTCAACGTGAGTAGTAATGGCCTCCTCAGGGTCGGGGACCACTATGTCCTTTTCAGCCCAATTACAGTCCTTTCGGACTAAATGGGAGATCATTTTCGATGATCGAGCAAATATACCTCGATGCCTCCTCGCACAGACCCTGCACTGAGGAGGGTTTCTTGACCTTGAAGTCATCGGCAATCGAACAACCCCCGAGAATGAATATCTTCAAGGAAGGTTCGGGAGTCGGTTCGTCGATAGCCACGTTAGCAGCGGATCTCCCGAGGTCGACCACATCAGAAGTAGTCTCATTGGTTTCGGCAGTCGTTTGGGAGGTAGAAGTAACCTTTTGGGGGACAAATTTTGAGGTTTTTGCCATTGATCTAAGAGAAAGCTTGAAGAATATGGAAAAGGGTTGAAAACTAGAGGCTCAGATGTGTTGGCTTGAGTGGATGTTGAGTAAAGACTTCAAAGGAATCTCGAATACCAGAGGTAAAAATGCTAGAATGTGAAAGAGAGTAGTGAAATCTTGAGGATATGAGGGTAGACGGTTTAACATAAAGTAAAAAATGAACGAGAGAGGGGGTATTTATAGTGATGACATGACGCTTTGCCTACATGGACAGTCGACCGGTGGCTGACATGCATTTAATACCATTATGACATGACTAACGAGACGTTTCAGATTTTTTGTCGTTTATGTCACGGTATATCGAAGAAGGAATCGATATGCTCATGTCGTTTCTCTTCATCTTACTTTCCGAGAAACGAGGGGACTATCTGTGTACGGGTAAAAACCGAGCTTATGATCCACTCCGGCCTCCAACAGGGTAAAACGAGCTCGAGATATGATTGCGAAAGATTGGAACCGAGGCAAGGATATCCTCAAGTTAGAGTACCGGGGGAACCATCGACCCTCGATAATATCGAGGTCATGATTCAAGATCGACCTAAAACCTAAAGTACTTCGGAGAGCGTTGATGGGCAATCAAGCACGGCCAACATGAGGCTGTAATATCCGTGAGCGGACGGATATCACGGTGGGGATGTCGGCACTTATCAATGTAGAACTAGCAATCAATTAAACAGAAGATTTTTTTTTACCTTTTATAGAGTTATACTTAGAGTATGATTCTCCTACTATATAAAGGGGGTATGATAATTCATTAAACACGTTGTAACACGCATTCCAAAGCAATATACTATTATTTTCACTGTTATTCTAAGCGTTTCTTTCATTCATCAATATTGACCATTGTGAGCCCGGATCGAAGGCAAATAGCTCACTAACGCTGGAGACATCTTTCCTGCGCCGTTTGAATTTACTGTATTTCTATTTGTTTATTTTAATCAAATTTATCATTTTATATCAAATTAATCCGCGTATCCTTAAAAATACTTACAAATTTAATTATTATCTGATTTTAAGGGTAAACAGTTTGCAAGACTGAAATTGAAAATTGCAAGTCTGCAGTTTCAAACTTCAATTTACGGGTCTAAAGTTTTGCCAAGCCTAACTTCAAACCAAATTTTAAAATATAGCATATTGCATTATATTTGCAATTCGAACTTTAGATATTTGGGTATGAAGTTAGACTTGACAACCCCCAACATCAATCTCGTATATCTGAAGTTTCTCAAATTAAATTCTAACCTAGGTTATTTTAATCATTTAATTTAATTGTACAAAAGTATAATTAGGTAAAATCTACATCGAATCAAATCCCCACTTCAATGTGAAATTTCATAGTTCCTTTTTTATTTTGCATGAGAAAAATATCAAAATTGAGCAATCATGTCGTTATTTACCTGATCGAACTTATTTGGTGACTTTGTATTTCATAAAAATTTCACGAGGTGTATTTGGTGTCCCCATTTAACAGGTATTCATTTAAAAAACAAAAAAAAATTTAATTGTTATTCAATTTTAAGAGAACTTTGTTGTTGTTGTTTGTTCTTTTTCTTTGCACGGCTGAGTCACAATTTTACATGGCGGAAGCAATGGTGGTGTTATGGTGGTTGTTTTAGCTAGTTTTGGAGATAACATGGTGGTCCTTTGGTGGACGTTTTGGGTGGTTCTCATGGTTGTTTCATGGAGTTTTAGTGGATGAGACTAGCGGTGCTAATAGAGGTTTAAGGATTTCTCTCATGATGGCTGTTTTGGGTGGTCTGTGAAGGTTTATGGCTAGTTTAAAGTGCAAAACGTGAGAGGAAGAAGAAAGAGCTAAACTTCAGAGATCTCTAATTCTGAAGTTGCACTTTGAAGTGATAAGAATTTAAGATAAAATGATTAAAACTTCAGATCCGATTATGAATCCTAATTGTAACTTCGTATGCGAATTCTGAAGTGTATTTCGAAGTGGATAAATTTACAAACAAAAAAAATTCAAACAACTTAAAAGTAGCCCCAAAATTGGATAGTAAATATTAAGGACAGAGTGTTCTGAATATGCACATTCTATTAATAAATTTTAGGACATCTTGTCCTTAACTTCATGTATGCAATGTAAATATTAAGGACTCATGGTCCTGGATTTGTGCACTTGTCCGTGGTATTTCACCCTCTTTTGTAAATAACTAGTCTGATCCACGTACCCATACAATTCATATATAGTTTTAAAAAACATTGATATTATGAAATAATGTTTGTAAGTTATAAATAAAAAAGGTATAAGTCTTAAAATTGATATTGCACCAAACATTGTGGCCTTTACGTAATTCTCCATTTCTTTTTAGATAACTAATAGTAGAAGCGTTTGCAAAGGGAAATTTTACAACGGAAGTACCAGATACTATCTCCAGCAAATTGAGGAAAAACAAATACGCCGAAGGATCTAGAATACGCCATCGGCAAAACGAACCCATCAGATAAGTACAATGCTAAAATGCACCGCCCTATGACGAGTCTGAACTCTGAACTAGTGTTGTAACGGGCAGGAAAGGGAACCGGTTGGTCAACCGCAAGTGTAAACTTTTTATTTTACGACTTAAATTACAGTAATTTTTATTTCTTAGGAAAATTTAATTTTTGTTTTTAATTATGATAAATTAATTTATTTTTTAACTTTAATTTGAGATTCTCAAAGTTAAATTATTGCACGAACACGGAATGTGAATAATTTTTTTTTTTTTTATGGTTAGGTAAAATGTTCTGTGTGGTCTGCTCCCATTGCTGGTTTTGACAACTAATGTTAATCTAGCTAATTAGAAAAGTTTGTGTGATAACCCAAAATGTCATCTTTAAATTTAATAAATAATTATGTGTTCTAAGACCTCGAAGAGCACCATTTATCATTCCTCGACTTGCGTGCACAGTCCGTAAAATTTTTCGAAAAGTTTTCATGTGAAAAATGGATTAAAATGTGAAATATAGCTTTAAAACTCAACT